ATGTGAAGAGACAATTTACTATAAATAACGTTGTAATACAATTTATCAATAAAAAGATTGCAAACCATCCTTTATTGAAGCTACAAACTCTTTCTTAATTACTAATACTATATAACTTTGTACTGATATAAAAGATACTAACTATCCGTACTACTATTCCAAATTTTAAATAGATAATAGTTGCAACACTACAACAATAATACTCACATGTACTTAGTCTTATAACAGTTTCTTAATTAATAGAATCACTTATAAACTATATATATGCATTTTCCTTGACAAATAATTATCCCAATAATATTTTCTTATTATAAAACAGTCACCTTACTTATACTAGGAAAATAGAATGTATGCTAACGACAAAATAAATGTATAAGCAATCATCTCTTCCATGGATAGGTGGCAATGAGTGAACTGGACCCACATCCACCTCGGGATTTCATTGCCCAAAATATTGATGGTACCTCCCTTACCGTTGGGAACCTTGGCATATCGATGGTTCTTTGGGTTATTGTATTTTATGGCTACTTAAGGCCCAATTGCTTGCTATCAATCTTGCTTGAGATAGAAAGCCTCGCAAGGTGATCTGCAACTGTGACTCGAACTTTAGTACTTTTGCAGTAAAAGCTCTTTTACTAAAAGTAAAAAAGAAAGAAGAGAAAAGAGATTCCTGTGATATTAATCATATAAAAATGAGTAAAATAAATATAGTTAGGTGAATTAAATTTTTTTTTTATCTTGAATGAGTAATGTATCAAATCTTCACTATTGCAATTTTGAAAATATTTCATGTACACCCTTAGAGAAGGAAATAGTTACGTTTGATTTTCACGACCAAGTTCGGGGCTACCAACATTAATGATGCTTCCTTTAATGTATAGTGAGTGAAAATTAGTCATATTCATGGAAACAATAACAAAATTCATTACATTCATCGATAAAACAACATAATTTTTTTTTGGTAGGCAAAATAACATAATTTGTTATAATATGTATTGTGTATTATTTGTGCACAATTAATAAAGCTGAAGAATATGATTATTGGTTTTCTCTTTTCTGTGACAAAATTTTGACTGACACGTTAATCAACGTTAGTTATTTCACAAAAATTTTGTGATACTGAAGGAATTTTGTGAAAAGAAAAATATTTTATAATGTTGCGAGTTACTTTTCTAAAATAAACTAGTTATCAATTGTAATAACTATAAGATTTTAACATGATTATTTACCACCTGAACAGGTCTTCCATAAATACATTTTTTATTTTTTTGTCACTAGATATTTGTGAGATATGCAAATTTTACAAAAAATAAAATATTTGACATAGTTGATATTAAGATTAATCTAGGTAAATTATAAATCTCACTCAATGTTTTTGGTAATAATTTTATAGAATTTAATTGTTCGTTTTAGTTTTTGTTCCTTTAATTAATTTCACCATTTATATTGTTTTTGTGGGACATTAGGAAAAATTATCAGCTTTCTAAAACTTTACTGTAAGTCAGTAGTGTAGTTTTGACCTCATATTTAAATATGAACGTATGATTTATATATTTACAATATTTTTTTAAGCTTTTAAAAAGTGAAAACGATAGTCACTACTCTTCAAACATATTTGGTTACGTACGTATCTAATTAATTAAGATAAAAGAATATTATGTAAAGTTAACGGTCAATTCTTGTATCGATTTTTCGCAATTGAGTTTGAATTTGAACTAAATATATATCTAGCGACTGGCCTATTTCCTTCCTCAGCTAGTTACGCATCTTAATTATTCATTTCAACACATTTTGAGACGATTTTAGTTTTTCTATTAAATTACAGGTACAATCATTGAAATATCCGTTCTCTTTAACATTTGAGAATTGAGAGATGTTGTCCGAAGCTTGTGTACTTAAGATATTTCAGTGATTTGGGTAGAAAACCGTGTAAAATCAAAGAAGATGGACATTTGGGGACTCTCAGAGCATATTATAAAAGATATTGGAGGTCTAAAAAGTAAAAGAAAAGAGAAAACTTTTATCATTTAGATGGCGTCACTTGCATCTTTCTACCACCTCACGTGCATGCAACCATAATAAACGAATTATTTAACATATACACACATTTTACTCTAAGATTACTTTCAATAATTGTAATTTGTTGTGTGTGTATAACTCAGCAGATAATTTCGGAAACAGTTAAAATTACCGTAATATTAATTATATAAGAAAATTAAACTAATTTCTTGTTTTACACAAATAATTCACGGAATTGAATCAGACTTTCCTTAAAAATGCATGTAATATCTTTGTTTCTATATTTATTTGTTGGCTACATACAGATTTAATGAATAAAAATTTAGAACTACATATGTCCATGCATGTACTTGTAGCCGTACGTTAGTAAAACGCAAAAGTACTATAGGTTGCGTTTCTAATATGTAAGTAGGTTAATTTTATAAGCCCTTTAATTTTCAATTCTAAAAACTTTAAATTTGTTGATATGTACGAAATGAGAATCATATAATAATAAGATTGTATATATGTTAAAAAAAAAGATAAAGTAGAGAGTATATGTATACGTTTGGCGTCCATGGGTTTGTTCATTATGGTCATGCATGGAAGCATTTCCCAATGAGAGAATCGAATCAGTACTCTCACTCTCCTTTCTTTTTGCTTTCACAGCTTGCTACAGCCTTCTTTACCATTCCCCAAGAAAAATGGTGGATGATTTTTATTAGTTTTAAGTTTTCCTTCTTTTTATTTTTTTTGGGGTTTTCGTTTTTCTATATGTTCTCCCCCTCTTTGCTGTTATTCCCTATAGCTAATTCCCCTCTATCTCTCTTTCTTTCTCACGGAGAGAGAAGGAAAAGTGTGAGAGAATATGCGATAATGAGGAAGGAAAAGAACATGACAGCGAAAAAGCCATATCAGTATAACGAAGGGGGAAAAAAGAAAAAGAAAAGATGGTCAAAATTTGAACCTCGAAGACTTCTCTTCCATCATCATCAACTTCGACTATCTTTATCGAAACTCTACCAAGTTTTGCTCCTTTCTTTGATTTTTGAACTATTCCTTCAATTCCAATCAACATTTAGTCATCAATGAGAATCGTTTCTCTTTCACTAAATGGTGTCCTAGTGCAATAATTTGAACCAAAGGACGTTCCTTGAAGTAATGGCCATGCAACTTTTACTTTAACTTCGCCTACGTCTTGGAGCTATACACAATTTTACCCTCTAGATCTTCAGCATCTGACATGCACGAGTGACCCTGAATATTTTCCTTATAATGTATAAATACATATTTATATGTTCACGGCCCAAATCTTATCGCCATTATGATGAATAAAATATACGCGTTCTTCTTAATTATTCTGTGGTTGGGATAAAAATCTGTATGTGTTAAAAACAGTTCTTCAAACATGAATTATTATTTGGGACCACTTTAAAGAGGCTTAATATTGCTAAACTGACACACATTTAACTCCCAACATAATTATAATTTTTTTTTTCTGTCTTCCTTCTGTTTAGTGATTTTATAACAAGTTGGGGAATGGGAACACATCTAAAATTCATTTAATAAGGTTGGTAAAGGAGGAATGGAAATTGTGTAGACATTTTAGACTCCACGTTAATCATTAATTAGGTTAGTAAGATGGAGTGGAAATAGAGTACATGATTTAGGTAGACAGGTACCTATAGACCCAATGTCCACACCTAAATATATAATATTCAAAAAGAACATTACATAATAAGGTTATGTGATATTATAATCCTTTTGACTTGCACCCAAAAGAAATTAAGTCCCAAGTACAAAAGAGGAATATTCAAAATTGAAAAAGCCGCACCAATTTTTACCATAGAGTTTGTGATGATCCTTATAACTCCCGGCCGGGTTCTGAAAGCATAATATTGAAAGCGAGACATGACACCTCCTTGGCAATTATTTTTGAATATGAATATAAGCTGGGCCACTACGCACTGGGGTCAACAATCTCTGATCTTAATGTTTTTCCTTGAAGTGTGAGGAATATTCATTTTGCCTGGTGATAAACAATGAATTTCGTTCCTTCTTATCCAATCCACTCATAGATCCATAACATAAAAAAAAGGAGCAAATAAAAAGGATGCACTTGGAGACCATGAGGTGTGATCGTAAGATAAGATAATAGGAGAAGGTTATATTTACAAACTTTTTGTTTACAAGCTCTTACAAACTACACTAAGTATGATTGGGCAGGCATACTTCAGTCAAGAGTGTATGACTGGTCATACTTAATGTAATTTGTAAATAGGATCATTTCCCAAAATAATAAGGACCATTTTATTGTGATTCTTTCCCCATCATTTCACTATAAATGAGGGTCCAATTAATACATATCCACGGTCAAAAAAGGTCTTTTGCTATAACTTATGGACTGCATGATTTAAAAGATAGGGCATGGTCATTGTAATGTTTAGAGGTTAGAATGCTTGCTAATTTGCTTTATGTGGGGACAAAAAAGTGCAGCTTGACAAAGTTGAACAAATTAATTTAAGCTACCAGACTTAATTTCCATAATAAATTTTTATTTTTTACGTTCATAATGAGACATTAATTGCAAGTAATAAATAATATACTTGCACTTTTCTTTGGAGTTTAAGATACTTTCTTTTTTCTCTTTTTCTGGAAATGTATATATATGAGATACTAATTAGTGATATGTGTACTTGGCAACTCCAAAAACCCAAAATCATATTCATGTAACTTTCTTTTATTAATTAATAATATGTGTATATATATATTATTTTCGAAATTGCTCTTAGCTTTTTTTCCAAATTTAGTATTTGATTCAGATTGGGTTGAAGGAAGTGGAAAGAGAACAACCTCTCTTGTCCTACCTGCACACTGGCTAGTTACTTGGATATATATCTGTCCGATTTTCGAGGTCTTAATTGGCAGTATATAAACCCACCTCAAGCTCAGCACTGATATGCACCACAATCACAAATTCTTCCTCCATCAACATTAATAATCTCTCCTTCAACTGTGTCACCAGGCCACCTTGAATTTCAGTTTCCAAACTCCAGAGGTGAATATCATTCCACTTCCCTTGTTCAAAATATATTCATTCATTTTCTTTAATTCTAATTGCTTTTCGATCCCATGCATATAAAAATATTCATCATAACTGCATATATGTATTATGTATGTGTGTGTGTATTTTGACTATATATTTTCAATCCATGCTCACTATAGCATTTTGGAAACTGTGAAGGGGAAAATGAGCAGACCAGGAGATTGGAACTGCAGGGCATGCAACCACCTCAACTTTCAGAGAAGGGAATCGTGCCAACGGTGCGGGGAGCCAAGGAGTGCCGGTGACTACGGTGGCAGCTTCGGCGGCAGAGGCTCTTCTTCCTTTGGCTTCACCACTGGACCGGACGTCCGCCCCGGTGACTGGTACTGCACCGTCGGAAACTGTGGAGCCCACAACTTCGCCAGCCGCTCCAGCTGCTTCAAGTGTGGTGCCCCCAAAGAGGACTCCTCTGCGGGAGGATCATACGACCTCGACATGCCCAGAATGAGAGCCTATGGTTTTGGCAGCAGCAGCAGTGGCGGTGGCGGTGGCGGTTCTACCCGCCCTGGCTGGAAATCCGGTGACTGGATATGCACCAGGTGACTTCATTTCTTATGCATATTCACACACACTCAATATTAGGATAATGTTTTTAATTTATGAATAAATAAAATGTCTGTAAATAAAACAGTAACGAGGGGGTTGTGATAAAAATGTGCAGGTCTGGATGTAACGAGCATAACTTTGCTAATAGAATGGAGTGTTACCGATGCAATGCGCCGAGGGACTCCAGTAGTGGCAGGTCCCCATATTCATCGTAGAGTTTCTGAACGTGGTAATTGTAATCATCTATCTATATATATGTCTGCTTACATAATTAATTATCATCATGCTGTTTATACATATAAATTTGTCTATTAATTAGTTCCCTCACTTTTTCATTTTCAGGTTTGCTGTCCAAGAAGAGAATTGAGAGGCTATTTGCTTTTTTTGGTCTCTACCGATATGTTACTTTCTTCATCATCTCTTGCGGATATCTATTTTTGCTTCTTTGATTTTCTTCCGGCTAGGATCCTAGCTTTAGGTGAATTGTGATTTTGAGTTTTGTTGGCGCTAGCAGAGTTTTTCTGGTATATGACTCAGCAGCTAGCCCATGTACTCTTTTTTAAGTATTAACAATTTAATATCAGTGTTTGAGAGGGGGCTAGCTTCTACGCCTCGCTATGATTTGGTGCAAAGGTGTTCTTTTATCTAATTCTCCAAGATGTGTTCAGAAAAGATGCCCTCTTCTGTGCCTTTCTCTCAGTTACTCATTAGTGAGGACTCGTGGTCCAAGGAATAATTGATTCATATAACTGTAGTCGTAAATACTCAATGTTTTAGCCCATATCCGCAAAGCAGTTCTTTAATATAAGGACCACTTTGGGATAAACCATTACAAAAAAGTTGAGTTTGCCATAACCATATATATATATATACGCGCGGTTCCTCGTTTGACAGGAAGATTAGTGGGGTAAAAATTCACAGCATCGCAGAGATACACTAATGTATCCATAATTCAAGGCAAAACTCAAAAAATATTCGGCTTTTATTTTTGGTTCTATGGTGAATTTAATATGTTAGACGAGAGACAAATGACACTAATGTACAAGTTCTAGAAGTTACGTTTAAGAAATTTTAATTCCACCTACCTAAACAGCTGTAGCTAGTAATTAAGGGGCAATGACACTATTCCTTTTGTAATCGGAATTAATATGTTTAGTTTTGGGAAGAAAAGAAAATCGGTGTAAATTTTACTACCTTTCAATTTGTATTACAACCATTCATCTTTTTTTTGGCATCCTCGCCTGCATGCGTCTCCTACTCCCACTTACTCCTCAACTTCAAGGGCTTCCTCGCTTGCCCATTCCCAATTCTTCAATTTTAGGGTTTTCAATTTGCACCTTGCGCTTTATCAACTTTTCTTTTATGAGATATTCCAATGTTTATAACTTCTCCACTAATCGGATCCGCGACAGATTCTAAAATTAAGACTTTAAACTTTTATCAGAAAACGATAATTGAATACATGCTCTCATCCTATTCAATTTCTTGTAGCCAACTGAGCTACTATTATTTAGTTTTATCAAGTTATTTTGTGATCATGTGAGTGTGCTTGCAGGCGCACCATGCAGCTGTCGATGGTGTTGGCTACATTCTCGCGTCGCCAAAGTTTTCGTGATGGATATTAACCCGAAGACGAAGATCGTGAAAGGGATACTGTTCAAACACGCATTGAGGGTGGTGGTGTGGGGAAACAAAATGTCGTTCCTGCACCACTTGACGCTGGACGGAGAAAATCTATGATTGTTTAATTTTGAAAATTAGGATTATGCTTGTCGTGTTCTATCGTGTTGATATTCGTAAAAATAATATTAATTGTTTCAATTAACCAGCATAATAAAAATAAAACACTTTAAAATTAATGGGTTATTCATTTAGGGAAAAGATATTGTAACAACCAAGTTGTGTTATACTACCATGTTATTACCAATCAAGTTTACCGTTAGATCGATTATGTTGATCCAACGGTTATATTTATTTCCATATTTGTATGGTTATAATTCCTCATATTTAAAGTAAAAACATTAAATATGAAAAATCATAACCATACAAACATTAAATATGGGAAATCATAACCATACAAAGGTGAAAATAAATATAAAATATTAAATTTGGAAAATCATGACCATACAAAGATGAAAATAAATATAACCGTTGGATCAACATAATCGATCTAACGGTGAGATTGATTGGTAGTAACACAACTTGATTTTTACAATATCATTTCTCATTCATTTGACATTGTGTTAACTTGTAAAATGAGTTAGTTGTATTTGTTTTGAAAGTTTTAACACGAATTTCTATTCGTATCGTGGTTATGTTGAGTGAATTTATATTCTGTGTTAGACCTTAATTTGACATTTACACGTAGCAGACACAAATTGGCATTCATATTCTCAAGTATGATTATATGATATAATGAGGGTGATATATAAATAACGTTGTTACAAAGTTTCCTATGTGATTGTTCAACCATTTTTGCCAAAAATATTATCTAAAATAGTGTAAAGCTAAATTATTTTTTCTAGTTGTTTGAGGAAACTGAAATAGAACTTAAAAAGGAGGAATAACAACAACGGATTCGATGTTAAGATTCTTAGAAAGGCATTTAATTAAAAACTTTGATTGGTTGAACCGGAAATCCTTTACCACCTCAAGGAATGCTTATCTTCTCGTAATTATAAATAATATCAATTTTCCGTATTGATCAATGGTGGGGGTTTAATCACGTTGCTTAATCAAAACCATGCTTCCTGTTTCCAACAAAGCAGATCAAGAATGACTAGAATTTTTAAAGTATTAATTAGCATAGGATTCCAAAACTTTACAAGCTTATGATAAAATTCATGGGTTTCCCCATTGACCTCCTGGGTTACGTTTAACAGCAACATTCGTTGGTCAAAAGTAGCCACAACTTCATTAGTGTCTGCTACTACACTACATTATATAGCTTTTAACAAGATTCTTTTAATTCACTTTAGTCTAAGCTTTATGTTACTTCAAATGCTTTGTTCAATCATGTGCTTTAGTGAAGTACGTCCCGCTCGCTTGTTCAATCATGTGCTTTGGGGTTCCCAACTAGGCAATTGAGGTTTGAGCCATTTTCAGTGCATTGCATATTCCCCATCATAATTTGGGCGTTGCAGTTGCACGCACGCATTACATGAAAGCTTAAATCAAAATCTCATTATGCTGAGGATCGATATTGATGAAATTTATGGGAGGAGATTTAATTGAGTCTTTTTTATTTATTTTTTTATTTTTTAAACATTGAATATTTCAGGATTTTTATTTATTTATTTATTTAAGTTTTTAAGAATAGTTATTCCCTACAGAAGACCTACGAAAGACCCTTGCTCATGAAAGCACGACAAAAACATCTTTAATCATGAGGATTTGTAATGTCAATTGGGTCCCAAATACCATCAAAACCAAACCAGCTCGGATTGAAAACCGTATACTGTGGCAGTCAAGGTTAACAAAAACAAGAGGACTTTTTAACCAATTCAATGCACGAAAAAAATGAGATACACTTTCAAAAGCTTTAGTTTCCCTTTCCCTTTCTTTTCAACCCAAGCAAGCATGTTTAAAGGTTTACTTTTTCTTCCTTTAAAATATATGATTTTAGCTTTGGTTTACAGGTCAAACTCACTATCTCTCCCAAAGTTATACATATATAATTGAGATATATGCTACGTTGGAAACTAGGGAACTGAGTTATGCCCAAACCAAAAAAACAAAATAATAACAAAAAAAAGTTTAATTACACTCTATCTCCGTAGTGATAAACCTTTCTTGATATTTTAAAAAATCATAAGACTGTATCACAAGTGAATCAAATCAAGCATGGGTTTTTAGTTTGAAAATAAGATAAATTTATTTATAAATAAGGTTCAAGAAAGAACTTTGCAAAAGAAAAAGATAACATTCGATAATTATAAATTAGATTGAGGAAAATAATATATATAATGATTTTTTTGTAATTTATATGAGAAAATTTTGTGTCCTCTTAAAAGGCACAAAGTTGTGTCCTTTTAGCAGTTATAACTATATATTTCGAGTAGTACATAGTTATAATATTAGAGTTGTATTTTTTTTTCTCTCTTCAGAAGTTGTTTGCTAACGTGAAAAGAAAAAAAAAATACAACTTTAATATTATAATTATGTACTACCCGTAATACATAGTTATAACTGCTAAAATGACACAACTTTATTTCATTTAAAATGACACACACTCAACGGTCAATTTATATATATAGGGGCAAGATATTCTTACACCGGTGTAAGAGTTAGAAGTCTTACACTCAATCTTGACCATTGATCCACTTGTATCTAATGGCTCACATTACTAAAATATTAGAGCCTTTAGATATAAGTGGGATCAACGGACAAGATTAAGAGTGTAACTTACAGTAGTGTAAAATGATCCTGACCCATATATATATATATATATATATATATATATATATATATATATTGAGATTTACATTTCTGCAGCTGTTGTACGTACAGCAATTAAATACTTGTCAAATATATACGTGAAAACATTAAATGCATATATATATATAGGGATTTACAGTCTGCGGCTGTTGTACGTGCAATAATCAAATACTTGCCAAATATATATATGTAAAAGCATTAAATGTGGAGAATCATAATCATACAAAAGATGAAAGCATTAAATATAAGAAATCATAATCATACACCTGTCGTTACAGTACGTAAAGTGGCTGCAGAAATAATTTTAATATATATATATATATATATATATATATATATATATATATATATGTGAGTGAGACTTTATATGTGAGAATAAGCTTTTAAATCAGTACTTATTTCAATTTTTATAAAAATGTTGGACACACTATATTCTAGCATAAAATAATCCAAAGTAATGTCAAGATAGAATCCTATCAAAAACTAAGAACCAGAGACAAAAACTAATTGGGCGGCATTACCTAAGATGGGATCATTCTACGAACTTGGGCTTGCTGTGTTTAGTTGATCCTCTTTCCTGCATTACTGCGGTCCTTTAGGTGGCGTTTGGTTGGCATCTTTATGAAATTTTCCTAGACATTTAACACAAGGTTTTCAAGAAGCACATGTTTGGTGAAGCTCTTTCAGACCAAAAAACTAGACAACTAAAATGCATAGGTTTCTCAATTGGAAATGAAAAAGACGGCTTTCGGCATTGTTAGAAAACCATTTTAGTAGGTGGGTTTTTGAAAAACCACGGATAAGTCACTGTTTGTTGAATTTCTTTGTATACTTTCCTGGTAAAATTTTATCCAATCAAATTACTTTTTCTTACATTTTTTTATCTATCTCATTTTATCTCACTTTCTTATCATTTCTCTATTAATTTTATTTCTCTAGTATTCGAAAAAAAATTCCTCAACCAAACGCCACCTAAGTGGTTCTGTTTCT